ATCTATCTATTTCTATCTATTTCTATCTATCTATCTATCTATCTATCTGTCTCTCTCTCTATCTATCTTTTTCGTTCTATTTCTTTTTATCTATTTCTCTCTATCTATTTCTTTCTATCTATCTATTTCTATCTATCTATTTCTTTCTATCTATCTATCTATCTATCTATCTATCTATTTCTATCTATCTATCTATTTCTTTCTATCTATTTCTATCTATTTCTTTCTATCTATCTATCTATCTATTTCTAGCTATCTATTTCTATCTTTCTATCTATCTATCCGTAACGGACTCACCTGTACTCCGACTGAGTACCGTCTGTTGATGGACGCTTCCTAGCTTGCGCTGAGGACCACAAGCACCACACCCATCGCAGACTCCACAACTGCCGTAGCTTAACTGGTAGTCTTGCCGTCTTCCTTACTCCCTGGATCAGCTTCTGTCTTCCAGGACCATGTGGGAAAGACCTCTTCCTTCCACCCTGTATGAACCTCCGACACCAAGGACCGTGTGGGGAAGACCTCTCCTCCAGGAGAGCGTATCAGGAACAGCTCTTAGAAGAGCTAAGTGATTAAAGCTTAAGGGAGTATGCAGAGCATAGCAATCCCCAGTGTGATTATAGCAGTTCCCTCCAATAACGAGACAAGGCTAGGTATTGAGGGTCAAACAGGAACAGAATGCACTGAGGCTTTATTGCTCTTATATACACATTTCTCCACAAGGTTACCACCCACGTGGGCCTTGTGGAACAACCAATCATAAACCGACACAAAGTTAAACACTCCCATTTATTCCAGCAAAAATCCTCCCCTCTGCCTGTGATATAATTACTGAACACAATAGGTTAACGTAATTATCACAGGCAGGAAAATACAGTTTTTATACAATTTTTATAACTTTAAAAATATACATCCAATCTTAATAAAACTTACATTATTATAACTAGCATAACTATGGGAACAACATATCCAAAATTCATGAGAATTGGTCCAGTGGTTCGAGAGATAGCTGGAAGTCATATTTTGACCGACCGCACGCACGCACGCACGCACATTTTCATGCCCAACACAGTTCCAGAGAATCAGGCTGTGCAGACGGTCTATTTCCCCTGTTAACGATAGTTCAAATAGGCGAATGGCAACCGTTCGAATTGTCGAACAAACTGTCGAACAGCGTTTGAATTGTCGATTGGCGTTTGAATTGTCGAATGAGTTGAAGTCTGGAGAAGGTAAAACTTCAACTGAATTTAAATGATTGCTGTCACGCGTTCATTTGTCGAATGGCGGCCACTTCGACTACTTCGGCACTTAAAGTTGTAAACTTGCTCCAACACAATTTAAAGGGGCAGAAAAAGTACAATAAAATCTTGTGTGCCCAAACAACGTTTTTAAAGGGCCAAATCTTCCAGGAGCCATAGTCACAAGGCAGGAGGCTGGCAATTAGTCCTCTCCAGGCACAAGTGGTGAAGGGCACTTCCTCACACTATCTATCTATTTCTTTCTTTCTCTCTATCTATCTATTTCTATCTATCTATTTATCTATCTGCCTATTTCTATTATCAATCTATTTCTTTCTATCTATCTCTATCTATCTATTTCTTTCTATCTATATATTTCTATCTATCTATCTATTTCTTTCTATCTATCTATCTATTACATAGTTACATAGCGGAAAAGAGACTTGCGTCCATCAAGTTCAGCCTTCCTCACATCTAGTAGCTGTTTCAACATCTGTATGGACTCTGATAAAACCACTTCTTCAGGCAGAGAATTCCACATCCTTATTGTTCTTACACTAAAAAAAACCTTTCCGTTGCCTTAGATAAAATCTTCTTTCTTCCAGTCTAAGCGCATGGCCTCGTGTCCTACGTAAATTCCGGTTTGTGAAATAGATTTCCACACAATGGTTTGTATTGAATATATTTGTATAATATTATCATATCCCCTCTCAGCCGATGTTTTTCTAAACTAAATAGGTTTACATTTGTTAATCTTTCTTCATAGCTGATATGTTCCATTCCTTTTATTAATTTTGTAACCCGCCTCTGCACTTTTTCTAGTGCCATAATATCCTTCTTTAGAACAGGTGCCCAGAATTGCACAGCATATTCAATATGTGGTCTTACCAGTGATTTATAAAGAGGCAAAATGATATTCTCATCCTGAGAATGAATGCCCTTATTCATGCATGACAATACCTTACTGGCCTTAGCCACTGCTGATTGACATTGCACATTTTTGCATAGTTTGTTGTCTATAACAATTCCCAAGTCCTTTTAGTGTGTTGTTATCCCTAATTCGCTTCCATTAAGTGTATACGTTGCTTGTGTATTCTTTGCTCTGAAGTACATAACTTTGCATTTTTTAACATTAAATTTCATCTGCCATTTGAGTGCCCAGTCCTCCAGTCTATCTGAATCCCTCTGCAGCAAAGTAATATCTTGCTCACATTGTATTTTTTTACAGAGTTTTGTGTTATCTGCAAACACTGAAACATGATTTTCAATGCTTTTTTTAAGATCATTTTTAAGCATGTTAAATAGAAGGGGTCCCAGAACAGAACACTGAGGGACACCACTTGTCACCTCTGTCCAGCTTGAAGATTTACCATTAATGACAACTCATTGTAGTCTATTTTTAAACCAGTGTTCTACCCAAGAACAAGCATTTTCATCTAGACCGATTTCCTTGAGTTTGAACACTAATCTATTGTGTGGAACTGTATCAAATGCCTTGGCAAAATCCAAATAGATCACATTAACCTGCAATACCCTGATCTATACTTCTACTTACTTCTTTGTAGAATGCAATCAAGTTAGTTTGACATGACCTGTGTGTGACGAAGTGCCCTTCGCCACTTGTGCCTGGAGAGGACTGCTTGCCCGCCTCTTGCCCTGTGACTATGGCCCCTGGGATGTATTGCCCTTTAAAGACATGATTTGGGCATAATGGATTTGTGTTGTGCTGCTGCTGGCCCTTTAAGAACCATCTGGGGACATACTGTGGAGTTACTGGGTGGCCACCATTTCCTGTATTATATTTTTTTTTTATTTTTTTTTTTTTAATAAAATGCCTTCCCCCATTCGTCCAGAACACTTCCTGAAAAAAAAGAATCTTGAAATATTAAAAACTTGGTTCACTTATTTCTACACTTAGTTCCTTAAGTACTCGTGGATGGATACCGTCAGGCCCTGGAGCTCTGTTTATATTAACTTTCTTTAGTTGCTGCAGCACCTTGTCTTGAGTTAGCCAATTACAATTATTCTGCAAGTTTTTAGTAGCAATCATTTGTACATCTAATGCAATGGGTTCTTCCTTAATATATACAGAGGAGAAATAGTTATTTCAAATTCCTGCCTTTTCCTGGTCTTCATTAACTAACACCCCCATTTCAGTTTTTAGTGTACCTACACTTTCATTTTTATTTTTTTTTAGAATTTATGTACTTAAAGAATGCGTTGGGGTTGGTTTTGCTCTCTTTGGCTATCATTTTTTCATTTTGAAGTTTAGCAAATCTAATCGCCTTTTTGCACGCATTATTGGCTTCCTTATATCTTTTATAAGATGCATCTGATTTGTCCGATTTAAATGCTATAAATGCCCTTTTCTTATTTTAATCTCTTGTTTTACTTCTCTAGTAAGCCACATTGGTTTTAATTTGTTTCTTTTATATTTATTTTCCAGTGGTACACACTGAGAAATGTACCTTTCTAATATTTGTTGGAAGATGTTCCATTTATCCTCAGTGTTCTTTTCACTAAAGAGTTTATGCCAGTCAATGTATTGTAAAGCTGCCCTTAACATATAGAAGTTGGCCTTTTTAAAATTATATGTTTTAGTATACCCTATGTGCTTTAATTTTTTTGAGTTTATTTCAAAGGACACTGTATTGTGATCACTATTTCCCAAGTGCTCACCTACTTGAATGTTGGTAAAATGATCAACGTTGTTTGTTAAAACCAGGTCCAGACAAGCGTCCATTCTAGTTGGTGCTTGTACAAGTTGTGACATGAAGGTGTCATTTAACAAGTTTAAAAACCTTATTCCCTTTGCTGAGCTACTAGTCCCTCTGTCCCAATTTATGTCCGGGTAATTAAAATGTCCAATAATTAAAGTGTTACCCAGATTTGCAGCTTTCTCAATTTGCTCAAACAGCTGTTGTTCCTCGTCAATATTAACATTAGGTGGTTTATAACATATCCCAACCAATAGTTGGTTTCCCTTCTTTTCCCCCAAGCAGATATTTACCCATAGAGCTTCCACATTTTCCTCATCACATTCCACTTTCTTAAGATTTGGCTTTAACTCATGTTTGACATACAAACATACCCCACCACCCTTCTTGTTTTTCCTATCCTTCCTAAATAACGTGTACCCATTTAAGTAAACTGCCCAGTCATGTGTCTCATCCCACTGTGTTTCTGTTATGCCTTTTATGTCATATTGTTTAGTGTATGTTGTTGCCTCTAGTTCTCCCATTTTGTTATTTAGGCTCCTTGCCTAAGCATACATTTAATATTATGCGTCACTTGTATATTTTGTGAATTATCAACATTACATAGCTTCTCTGTTCTGAGCGTGCCCCTCCCCCCATCTCCACCTCCCTTATACTGTGCTAAAGCCCATCTCCTTTCTGTCCTATCCCCCTACTACTAGTTTAAAATCTCCTCCAACCTTCTAGACATCCTATCCCCCAGCACTGCAGACCCTCTCCCGTTTAGGTGCAACACATCACTACTATAAAGGTTGTACCCAACCGCAAAGTCGGCCTAGTAGTCTAAAAACCCCAAACCCTCCTTCCTGCACCAAGACTTTAGCCACACATCTCCTGCTGCCTTTCCACTGTAGCGCGTGCCACAGGTAATATCTCAGAGAATACCACCATGGAGGTCCTTTTCTTAAGTTTGCTACCTAATTCCCTGAAATCATTTTTTTTTTTTTTTGAATATTTAATCTTTATTTTAAATTTTTTTTTTCTTTTAGATCTCATTAAATACATATGTCATACAAATACAAATATCATACAAATATACATTTGTGATACAAACAAACAACACAGCAGCAAAATAGGGGAGGGAGAAGAAAAATACATCAGAAAGACTTCCATAGTAGAGTGGTAATATCATTTAGATAAGTCTCATAATTATTTACAATGTTCATGGAATTATTCTACTACTAATTGAGCGACACTATTTTATACATCAATCATCTCAATACACTTTAACCAAACAGAAATCTTATTGCTTAGTCTTTGTTTACTTAGCATCAGCTCCATTCTAATCTGAAACTCGAGTTGAGTTTTAACTTTCTTCCAGGGGACTTCTAAATCCCTTTTCCACCATCTCGCAATTACTATTTTAGCCGCTAAAAACAGATGTATAAGAATTGCTTTTAATTCATATGTCATATGAGGCCAATTTAGATGAAGTAGAACTGCCTCTGGAGAGATAATCAACTCGAGTTTTAAATTATTAGATATAAAGTGCTGCATTTTCAACCAGAGATTTTTTAATTTATAGCAATCCCACCAAATATGTCTAAAATTGCCTCTAATACTATTGCATCTCCAACAGATAGGATTTACTAGAGGGTAAATTTTATTCAATTTAGCTGGTACTAAGTACCACCTATTTAAAACTTTAAAGTGCGTTTCTAATAAATTTAATGAATGTATATTCTTCTTAACATCCATCATTGAAGAACCCCATTGATTCAGATTTATATCAATATTCAAGTCTTGTTTCCAAGCCTGTATGGCAGTAGGACTTGTGTCTTTAGCTATTGATTTAATTAGTATTAGAGCTTTGGAAAGTGGTTTATTAACTTTTTTTGATGTAAATAATAAATCTATCGAATTGCTTAAATTAGATTTTGGTATTATAAGATGTGTATTAATATAGCTTTTAAGTCTTAGAAAATTAAACACCTCTCTAGGAGGGAGATTATGTATCTCTGTTATTTGAGCAAAGGTTTTAATTAATCCTTCTGTCAATAATTGGTCCAGAGTCGTTATCCCTACTTTTTTCCAATTATTTAAGTTTAAATCTTCCACTTGTTTTTCTACAATATCTAACTCTAAATAACTTGGAACTTTTTTTTCTATATTCATTACTTTTTTAATTTTTAACCAATTTTCCAATAATTGAGTTAGAATAATACTGGCATACTCTTTTTTCTTTGACATTTTATTTATATTCCAAATTAAACAATCTAGGCTAGAAACTTCTCCTGCCTTCAATTCCATTTTATACCATCCCTCATCTTTATTTTCTTTCATTTGCATTCTATAGACATGTAGGATAATAGCTGCTTTAAAATTATTCATTATGAGTGGATAATCAAGTCCACCTTTATATATTTTCTGCACTAATATTGACTGTTTCAATCTCGGCTTCTTGCCTTTCCAGATGTATTGAGTAAAACTTCTTTGTATTAATTGAAGCCAATGGATTGGGATATGGAGAGGTAACATTTGAAACATATAATTCCACTTTGGTATAACGTATGAATTAATAACATTTATTCGCCCCCAAAAAGTAATCTCTAGGTTTCTGCGATCTTTTAACCATTTATTAAGATCTAATAATAATGTTAGGAAATTTACTTCCATAATCTTATTTGTCTCTCTGGTTATTTTAATTCCTAAGTAATCCATACTTTCTTTAACCCAAATAAAATCGTATTTATTTTTAATCTCTCGTTGTATCCTTTTATTTAGGTTAACATCTAATATCAAGGATTTATTTATATTTAACTTATAATTTGATATGAAGCTGTATCGCTCTATTTCTTGCATTATACGTTCCAAAGAATTTTTAGGGTTTGTAAGAGTAATTAAAATGTCATCAGCATATAAGCTAATTTTTTGGTCCTCATCCATTATTTTATAACCATGGATCTCTTTATTATTCCTAATATTCTCAGCCAATGGCTCGATAGTCAACAAGTAGAGCAATGGTGAGAAGGGACAACCCTGTCGGGTACCATTTCTAAGTTGGAACCATGGGGCGACTATATTAGGTCCAATAGTTCGTGCAACAGGATTTACATATAGTGCCATTATAGCTTTCTTAATCCAACCTTCCAATCCATAATGTTGTAGGACGGCTTCTAAATATTTCCAGCTGACTCTGTCGAATGCTTTTTCAGCATCAATCGACAGAGTCAGAACTGGAACATCATATCTATTTGCGTCGTCCAAGATATTAATAATTTTCCTTATACTTGTATAGGAATTTCTACCTGGAACATATCCTATTTGATCTTTATGGATGATTAGTGGAAGAAGTTTTTTTATTCTGGCAGCCAAAACTGACGCGTATAACTTAGTGTCAACATCTATTAAAGATATCGGACGATAGTTTTTGATATCAGTGGGGTTTTTATCGTTTTTTAGAATAGGCAAGATATTAGCTTTTAGCATCTCTGCTGGTAAAAATCCTCTGTTTGCCGCTATGTTGAAAGCAGAGGTCAAATGTGGGCATATTAAATCTTTAAATGTTTTATAAAATAGGTTGCTAAACCCATCCGGGCCTGGTGTTTTAGATCTTTCTAAATCATTTATTGCTTTCATAGTCTCCTCCATAGTTATAGGTTTATTTAAGAAATCATTTTCAATAGAAGTTAATTGAGGCTTCTTTATATTATTTAAATAGTTTTTAATATCCTCATCTGTGTTAATCTGAGGAATATTGTATAGATTGGCATAATATTCATTAAAACACTTTCCAATCTCTCTTGGGGTTAATGCTATTTTTCCATTCTGTATTATTTTGTCTACCTTATTTTGTACTTTTTGTTTTCTAAGTTTTTGGGATAGCATCTTTTCAGCTCGATTGCCTTTGGAGTAATATTTAAGTTTTAATCTATCCATATTTTTAGCTATCGTATCCATTAATTTTTGCTTTATTTTTTCTTTAAGTTCTAATATTTTTTCATAAATTTCAGGAGATGGAGATTGTTTATTGATATGAGTCAAATCTCTTAATTCTGTATGTAAAAATGCCAAAGTATTATTTTTGTCAAGTTGGCTTTGTAACTTGATAATATGACCTCTTATAACGGCCTTAAAGGCACACCACAAAATAGATGAATCAATATTTTCTGAGATATTTTCTTTAAAATAATTTTTTATATTATCTCTTATATGAGTTTTTTTTAATTCACAACAAAGCAAATTATCTCTTAACCGCCAAGTATAAGCTTCTCTTTTAAATGTACTAAAAATCATTTCACAAAAAACTCCATTGTGGTCTGTCCATACTATCTCGTCAATCTTTGTTTTTTTGGTCATATCAATAATACTTGGGTCAACCCAAATCATATCCAATCTTGAATAGGAAAAATGCACTTTAGAAAAATGCGTATAGTCTCTCTCATTGGGATTAAAAATTCTCCAAATATCGAATAGATTATATTCATCTTTAATTTTTTTTAAGGCTTTTGCTTGTTTTATAACCATCTGATTTAAAGTATTTCCTTTCATTAATTTTTTATCTATCTGAGGGTCTAGTACAGCATTGAAATCCCCTGCCAATATTAACTTTCCCACTTTAACTTCATCTACTTTTTCCAAAATTGTTTTTAAGTGAGCAACTGGTAAATGATTAGGAAGATATATATTACATAATGTAAAAAGTACAGAGTCAATTTTACATATTATTATTAAATACCTGCCTTTAGTATCTTGTATTTGATGAATTACTTCAACTTTAATCTTTTCTCCAAATACCACAGCTACACCACATTTTTTTTTCCTTATTGGAAGCTTGAATTATAAGTGGAAATCTTTTACCCCCCCAATTTTGTTTATCCACTTGTCTCCAGTGAGTTTCTTGTAAGAATATTAAATTCAATTGTTTTTCACTGAGGTATTTATACAATAGATTTCTTTTCGCTATAGTATTCAATCCCTGAACATTAAGTGTAAGCATTTTTATCATATTATTTTCAAAAACCTCCCTGCATCCCTTTCCACTCGATAACCATTACCCTTCCCTATTGCTGCATAAACATATCTACACAAACACACAAAACAAAATATTAAAATCATAGGAGGAAATCCTCCTTTTTTATCACAAAGACTGTAAATTTTCATATAGAAATTCAGTCTTTACTGTGTCTTTAAATTAGACACTAAGTGGGCGTATCCAGAAAGAGGTAGTAATATTTACAAGTTTGCAATCTCTCTCCAAGAGGGAGAGAGAAAAAAAAAAAAAAAAAAAAAAAAAAATTTTTATACTTAACTCCATTAACTTTCAATTCTGTGTCTTAAGTGGATCTATATCTTCTTATCTTACCAATACATATGAATAATTTACTTTTAGCCACCTCTTTAAATTAGAAACTGATTAATACTTAAACATATTTGCTTTTATCTACTTTTTTCCACATAATTAGTTAGTACCCTTAAGGTGAGAACAACCAACAATTACATCAATAAACCTGTTAATTATTCATAGAAAAAAAAAAAAAAAAAAAAATTTCTTCCCCCATTCCATACCCAGTCTCATTGCTCCGTGAACAACCCTCCCCCAACCACCTCTCCAAGTACAAATCTGATTAATATTAATACTTAAACATATTTACTTTTAAGTCCTTATGTTCCACATGCTTACATGCATATACCTAATTATTTAGTACCCTTAAAGTGAGAACAGTCACCAATAACATCAACAGGTTAGCAACTTGTGTAGTGCGCAATTAAGTAGTTCTACATAAGTGAGGACAAAAAAAAAAAAAAATTTCTTCCATCATTCTACACTTAAATCAGTTACTCTGTGATTCTTTACTTTAAATAAATCTATTTCTACTTAACTTACTAATACATGTGAATAATTTTCCTTCAACCACCTCGTTAAGTTCAAATCTAATTAATATTAATACTTAGACATATTTACTTTTAAATCCTTATGTTCCAAATGCTTATGTGCATATACTTAATTCTCAATTAACTAGTAGCTTTAAAGTGAAAACAGGCCCCAATAACATCAACAAATTAGCAAATTGTGCAAAGCACAATTAAGTG